TCCATTTAATATTAATTGTCTGTATGGATTTAGGTTAGGGATTTCCGCGAACTAGGGTGAACTCAATTGAGTCCAATGTTTGTTTGATTGTACTGTTTCAAACATCATTCCACGATTTGGTGCCCCAAAACTTTCTTATTCTTTAGCATTAGATCTTTGTAATGGTGGCTGTAGTGTGATTGAAGAATATATTCTGTTATATGACTTGATTTTTATTTTTTAACAGTGATACATTTCTTGTTTATCATCTGCACATGGCAATTCACTGTTGTTCATTAATGTGTACTGTACTGTTCAATTGTAGCAACCGAAGCACGCTTGAGTGTAATGGTTGTAATAAGGTATCCAAAAAAAAAAAAAAATCCCTTCGCGGTTGTGGTACGAGATTCTTTAGGATAGTTCGATGTTGGAGTTACCTTATGATTTGGGTTTGATAAATACTGCAATAGAACTCATTTTAGATATATAAGATATTTTGTTTTTTTTTCCAAATTGAGTCTGGAGATTTGCAGTGTAGGGGATGTTTCCTGAACCAGTTTTGATTGATTGATAATTTCTAAATTTTATTTCTTCGTATATGTCTTTCTTTTGTTGTCTGTGCATATGGGTTTAATAAAAAGGTTATTAATTTGTTTAGAAACCGTTCACTTTTTGCATTTGTAGCTCTAAAAAATGATCAGAGCAATTGTTAAACAACCCCAAATATTTTACATCTCCAATGACGGAATTGCCCGGAACCCAGTCCTCCAGCTCTACTTCCGATCAAAATAAATCTTCTGGAGAAGTAGAGTCTCTAAATGAGTAAACCCACATCGGTGTATACTATTATTTATTTATCTCTGTAAAAACTTTTCTTTATTGTTGTTGATTGTATCTATTTTTGGAATTTTGAAAAGTTAGAGATTTGAAGTTCGAAAATTCATGTTGCTGTACCTATTGAGTTTTCTTTAGACTGTCAGTGATTTTGTGAATTTATTCATTGAAGGATATAGGCTGATTGATTAATTATAGAATGAATAAATTAGAAAAAAAGAAAAATTAGCAAGTGTTGGTGATGTATGGAGTTCAGAAGTTACGTACCTTTTTTTACAGTTACATGAAATAGAAAGAGTTCAAAAGCTATAATTCTTATTGTCAAAATATATTGTTGTTGATAGGTTTATACTAAATAGACGTGAGTACAAGTTAACAGGTACAAATTGAAAAGAACCCTTGCTAAAATTTACTTGAAGTTTCATGTGACAAGCAAATATATGATTGTCCCCATGGACATCAATCTGTGATCATTCAGGTTTTTTTATCCTTCTTGGCTCGGTTTTAAGCTTCTCTTATCTATTTGCTTTACTACAACTTCAATACTTGATCAAAATGCATCCAAATCCTGCCATATTGCATGTGTGAGCAGCTGATGAGGATAGCGAAAACTGCGAAAAGATAATAAAATATAAAAAGTTAGTATGAGTCACAGAAGAGGAGGAGAAATTAGGAAAATTTTAGTTAACTTAGGTCAAACAGTTAAAGAACTAAAGATACGGTGGAAAAGATTGTCTTAACGAAGGGAATGCAAGAAAACAAATTTATACTGCTGAGTTGTTGTCTCAAGCTCTCCCGTCTCCACCAAAACTTCTAATTTCTGTGATCAGTAAGCTTCATTCGGATGTTGCAAGAGAAAAGGGCAAGAGAAACTAAAGGAATTTAGGTAATTGCTTTTTCACATTTTACATAATGCTTTCCATTTTGTGTGGGCTTTGTCGAACACCCTGTTGCTCAATATAATGCTCAAAAGGATGATCACCCTGACGAAATTGGCAAACTTGCTAAAGTCAAGGCTGTCTCTGAAGTAAAGGGTGTCAATTGTCATGATGGAAAACATTGACAAGGTACAGAAGTTTTCCATGTACCCTCTGTAATTGGAAGTTTTGCTATTCCTCATCATGCTAATTTATTTATTTTTTATCGGTCCTAATGATGCTAATTTTGTTCCTCTTATATTTAGGTTCTCGACCGAGGTGAGAAGATTGAGTTGCTTGTCGATAAATCTTGATTGAGATTATCATTCCAATTTTATACCAATGTAAGGTATATTTGGTCAGTATTAATTTTGATGAATAATTCATCTTTTAATGTTTCCAAAAATTGATCTAGGATTAATCTTCATGTATTAGCTTTTGATAGTGCTTTTAGTCTAACTTAAAAGGAATATGATCGACTAATTAACTTTAAATATAATGCTAATGATTCAACTTTGATGATTTAAGTAATTTGATTGTCCTTAGTGTGGCCCCTGAAATTCAAGATAATTCATATAAGCAACAATAAATAAGAACTTTTATCAGGTAAGTGAGCAAGCAAAGATAAAACAATTGTAATAGAGCAACACAAAGCATTAATTTTCTATTTTTCAAACATAAAAAATTGTACAAACCGAATGATTTAAAAGAGAACACAACAACATCCTACCAACGTACTGAATATAATAAGATGTATTTACATCAACAAATATTGCTAAATATAAAGNGAATGTATTTACATCAACAAATATTGCTAAATATAAAGCTGTCCTAGCTACAAATAGTGCTGAAACATCATTGACAATAGATGGGATCAAGTACGTCATCGATCCAGGGTTTTGCAAGATGAAGTCTTATAATCCTAGGACGGAAATGGAATTGTTGTTAGTTGCTCCAATCTCAAAGGCATCAGCTAATCAGCAAGCAGGTCGATCTGGGAGAACAGGTCCTGGGAAGTGCTTCCGGTTGTTCACTGTATATAATTACTATAATGATTTGGATGACAATACTGTCCCAGAAATACAGAGGAGCAACTTAGGTAATGTTGTCCTCACTCTCAAGAGCCTTGGCATTAATGATCTGCTGAACTTTGACTTTATGGATCCCCCTCCATCTGAAGATTTACTGAAGGCTCTGGAAATGCTGTATGCTCTGAGTGCACTTAACACGAATGGTGAGTTGACAAAAGTGGGTAGAAGGATGGCAGAATTTCCCCTTGATGCTATGCTTTCCAAGATGATTGTGGCTTCTGACAAATACAAGTACTCTGATGAGATCATATCTATAGCAGCCATGCTATCTGTTGGAAATTCTATCTTCTATCGGCCTAAGGACAAACAAGTGCTTGCTGACAATGCCCGCTTGAATTTTCACATGGGAAATGTTGGAGATCATATCGCATTGCTCAACGTCAGTCTGTTGCATATCCTCCCATGTTTGCATATCACCCCATGTCCTTCCTCGTATTCTCT